ATGAATTTTATCGACATTATCCAACAGGGCAAGCCTCTCTCCGAGGAGCGACCCTAAAATCGTGTAGTGGCAACAAAATAGTGAGCTAGATGGGATCGGTTCCGCGACGGTAAAGTGTTGGTATCGGAGCTCGATCAATGTGACTGAACAGACGTTATCATGTCATCGCATAGATTAATGAACTGCATAGGCTAACTGGATTTTCTCTGGGAAAGTGTTAGTTCAATATTTGTTTTGTGCAAGAACCTAGTCGTCGAAATAAAAAATAGATCCGAACCTAAGTGGCACAGTAAACCTTGATTTGCATGGTCGCAAGACGATGTTGAAGCTAAGATTCCATTTTCGCTTCTCTGACACAAAACCTGCGATGTAGAAGATAGTGTTGAATCTGGTAGTACGCGTGCACATACCACTGTCGGTGATTCAGAAGATTATTAGAGAGGTGACCGGTTTATTCACTGAGCAAGATAATAGGAGTGCATTGTTCGATAAATCTATTCCTGCTGTACGAAAGGGTTTGGGATCGCTTCCATACCGTCTGCAGGACAAATGAGCTCAACTGACGGTCCTCTGAAAAGAGAGAGAGAGAGTAGGTAAGTATATATCAGTGTGGTTTACTTTTGTGGTGGCCTAGTGAACCAATTTATTGTGAATACTTAATCATCATCGATACAAAGTGGCCGGCCACTACCAAAACATGTAAAGGGTGATGTAGCTTAAATTGATAAGGGCTGTTTAGAATGTGACTCGTAAAGTCAACAAGCTGTGCCGCAGTACTTTGTAGTGTACCTTCACATTTTATTACATAAGTTTCCGGTCAGCTGATAATATCACCAGCTGTATCGACCATTCTTTCAAACACTTCATACATCGATCAACTTTCCTTTTGAATCGCCGGCTGACTCTAGACTACCTCGTGTACAACATCTGGGAGCTCCAAAAAATACATTTATGGGAATATACGTTGTCAATTCCTTTTGGCATCCAAGAATGACGGGTTATTAAACCAGGAACTCCGTAACCAAAAGGCGTTACCAAAATACGATAGTGGTGACCCCGACGTGATGGTTTAGAGACACTCGGTTATTGTAAAAATTTGTCTAAAGATAAGTCGACAACACCTACCTACACGCAAGCTCTGGACTGTGAGAATTAAGGGCGGAGGGCAGTGCAAATTGTACACGGTAGGACATTGAGTGCACGGAGCGGTGACTCACCTGCAAACCACGAGACCAAGCTCTCGAGTATCCTCTGTGAGACGATTCGGATCGTCTGGATCGCGTATCTGCTCAGTGGTGCAATCAAGGACCATGTTTTGGAGATTGTCACATCCTTTGAGTATGCCGGTTGCTTCTCGACCTCCGGAGAATTTGACTCGAATACGTTTGTCCAGATATTTGCTGAGTTCGATGATAGACTCCTTGCGTCGTTTCTCGGTTGGTTTGTCGCCCATATTTACGATTAGAGGAGCTTCAATGGGAAAACGTAGTATAGCATTCCAGAGAATATGGGAAATCGAAAGCACAGGATTGCATCAACTCACCCATAATCTCGAACGTACGAAAATATAAAAAACGATAAAAAGCCATGGAATCTATCAGGCGTAAATCATGTCCCTGGCATCAAAGTATGTTAAAGCTGAGACCTTCACGTGGCAAATTAAATTCCATCATGTCCAGGCACCACTAGGTACCATTTTAACAGAAACAAAATCTCAACGTCGCGAGAGTCACTCAAAGATCAAAACACGATCAGAAGCAAAAGACGGCTAGGCGAACAAGCTTGTTTTCAGTGGTTCGCATCAGGCCAATACACCACAGAAAATAGGAATAAAACTAACACAGTATTTAAATACGATGAATCAATGAAGTGAATTGACCGGCCAATGAGATCAAGTGACGACACTGGCTAGGGCAACATTAGTGATAGGGTTGGGCGTGAGATCATTACATGGGGAAGCTTGAGATCATGCTGGTTGTAAAGTCTGTACGGACTTCGTTTGAGCACATAAGTCGGGGTTATGGGGCCGAAAAGCGATTGCTTCCGCTGTCGCTAATAGGCGATATTGGAGGGCTCGCGTGTGGCATCCAGATATCCGGAAGGCCTCTCGCACATTCACTTGGTGATTTGAGTCGGCCAAATGCCACAGCACCGCGCTGACTACTGTCTTTCTGACACCAGTGTAGAGCCACGCCGGGCAATGTTCTCGGACTCTCTCAGACAGTCGTCTGGTCGTCTTTCCAATATAACTTTTTCGACACAATCAAAAAATATGGTACATACAGAAAGAAATAGTCGACCTCGGTAATCTGTCTATGAAATGCTGACTTACAACTGGCGTAGAAGTGAAGCTGACACAGAGGTCAGCTGCAAGGTAGGTCCTCGCGGTTGCATTGCAGAGCCTTCGAGTAGTTCGTTCTGCTATCACATCACCCTTGAAAAGTAGTGATAAATAGATTAAGTGCTTTTCTGTGGTGATCGGTCGGACTTTTGATGCTCGTGGCTCCATGTGCCTCCGGATGAATTTGTCCGGGTAACCATTTTGTTCGAGAACGCTTCGAATGAAACGCAACTCATCCGGTAGAGTGTCTTCCGTGCATATTTTCCTCGCTCTTTCTGTTAGACAACGGATGAGGTTTCCTTTTTGACTCAGTGGAACGAAACTGGCGAAATGGATATACTGGCCGCTCAAAATTGTCATCCTGTGTACTATACTTTGTATTGTCCTGGTGATGTGGATATCTAAGAATGACAAGGAGTTGTTACTTTCAAGTTCTATAGTGAACATTATGTTATGGCGTGCAGCGTTGTAGTGGACTAGCAGATCTTCGATGCATACTTGACCACCTGCAACACAAAATATGTCACCGACGTACCGACCGTAATAAACCAAGTTGTTGACACATTGGTTTAGCTGAGTGTTTCCAAATTAATCATGAAGTGATCGGCAAGTAACGGTGTTAATGGTGAAACCATAGCTATCCCGTCTATTTGTCTGTAAAACATGTTACTGAACTGAAACTGAGTGTTTTTAGTGCACGATAGTATAAGTTGCTTTAGACAGTCAGTTGGGATACCGATGTTGATGCTGTGTAATTGGATAAACTCGCAGAGATAGTCAATGGTCTCTTCTAACGAGACGTTGGTGAAAAGTGACGCCACATCTAGCGAGAACCTGTTCCGTCCAACTGGATTGGGTTGTTGCACGGAGTCGAGAAATTCAAAAGTGGCCCGGAAGCTCTATCGATATATGGCTTTCCTGACCGGCTCAAGGCGTTCGACAAGCCAATTAGCAGTCAGATGATAGGGCAAGTTGTACATGTCCAGTATCGGTCTCAACGGTACAGTTTGCTTGTGGATCTTAGGTAAGCCATAAAGCCTCGGAATCACGGTTCCACTAGGTCTGGCGTATTCAAAAGTGTCAGAGTCTATGATGTTATTTTGTTTCAAACGCCGCAAAAGTATTGCCATGGTCTTCTCAATTGCCGGCGTCCTGTCTTTCACGTTTTCCACTTTTCGGAATTTCGATGCGTCTGCTAGGATGGTGCTCATCTTACCAATATAATCTGACTTGTTCATCAATACAATCCCGGCTCCTTTATCCGGTCAAGATAACAAAACATTCTCGCTTTTCTTGAGTTTTTTTCAGAGCGTCCAAATGCCTGTTCTTTAGAAGATATTTGATGGTCGGTTTGTACCTCAGGTACTGGTAGCATGTGTTGACCAATATGGATTTGTCCTGTTCAGCTGCTAATACTGTGGATGGTGTTAAGGTAGAAACTTGAGAACAGAGATTTTCGAATTGGACTTCCAAGTCTAACTGTTGTACATTAGCCCGGGGGTAACAGAATTTCGGGCCTAGTGAGAGGACTTCCATTTGTGCTCTATCTAACTGCAAAGAGGAGGAATTGTGCACGTATTTCTCAGGGTCAGGTGGAAATGAGTTACTCGGCTATTTGAAGCGATCTGTCGCCGTAATGAGGCGATTCGTACTTCAACTTGCCGAGGCATAAATCGCTGAACGAATGATTCGAACTGTTTGTATTCCTCATCCTCCAAAATTCACTTAGTGTGTCTGAGTAGATACACCGGTTGCGGTTAAGCTCATCAATCAGAGAAACAACCGTGTCTCGGTTGTTCAGAGAGTGACGCTTCAAACCAGTGCTTATTGGCTTAACTCCATTAGGTCTGAGAATCTTCCAAAAGTGCTCGGGATATTCACAGCGTAAAACGCATTCATTCAAAAACTGCACCGCCGCCTTCGCTACAGCAAGTCATGTGCTGAACCCAACGTACTGATTAAGTTCTCTCAACACAGTGGGATACTTGGACTGTTTCAACTGAGATGTATGTATTCTCAACAGTCTATTTACTAGACACAGAGCCAGTGTAAAACCATGGAGATCAACAGATAAGCAAGGTTTAACGCGTCATAATCATCGTGGCATGCTAGTTGAAGGTGAGCAACACACTTCAACTAATATGCCGCAGGAAGAATGGAACATTGTGATAAAAAGTAGAACAAAACATTTTTAGTTTGTTTTTCACACGCCGCTTTTGCTTTTTTTAGTCATTTTAATGTTTGTAGTATTAATCATGTGAATCAACACAATACTGTACACAATTCTTCCACTGATTCCGGTTGCGGGCCATATCCTCAAGAGTGCTAAGTCATTGGCACTCCTCATCTTTGGGTCCCCATCCTGGAAGACGTACGGATCCAACAGCGGCTAGACACGACGTCAGCAATTTCATGTGCTGCCGCCAAGTGGAAGGCTGACCACCACGCGGTCGCTTCCAGCCAGGTCCTTGACGAGCGAATAGAGCGCGACGCGGTAGACGCTGAGAAAATAATCCCGGATAGGACATCAGAAGTAAAAGACGGCTAGGCGAACAAGCTTGCTGATAGGCGCGCGTGTAAAATCAAATGTATTCCACAGAACGGGTAACAACAGACACTGAGACTGTAAATCCATTTGGAATGACTGGCCAAAAGGCACCCTATGAGTGCTTCGTATAGTGGATAAACGTTCGGGTATGCGCTCAACTACAGAGAATCCGCTGCGGTTTCGTCGCAGCTGTCGGCCGGTGACCGAGTGGTATGCGCGCCTGGTTCGCAACCATAAGGTCACCGGTTCGAATCCGCGTAGGGGCGGGCGTCCTCGCAATATACTCAGCTCACGCGCGACTGGTGGTGGTCGTGCGGCAGCGAAGCGCCGTTACGGCGTACAGCTGGCAATTTATGTTTATTATTTACTTTCGTCGCAGCTCGATGCTTAAGACGTTAGCGAAGTCTTGCTGATTTTTGAGACTATTCGTAGCCCAACACGGTGAAATATCCACTAAACCTTCGAAAAGCGCCAAACGATCATCCACCCTTTGGGATTCATCAGTAGCGCATATCCGCCAGATCCAACTGAATTCGTGATAGTGATGTAAGCCACTGAGCCATGGTTGACGGTGGCGGACAGCCATGAGTAATTGTTAACTGCGATATAGCGCAGGTCGCCCTTCAATGTCGTGCATGTTTTGAATGTGCAGAGGACAAGGTAGAAACAAAAACACTAAAAAACGTCCTAGCACCGGTGCGTTTCAGTAACTGTTGTTGTTGCAAAGCTTCTGTGCACGAAAACTGATGCGCATCCGAGGTAAAGCAGGTGATTTCACATAACTGAAGGGAATCGTCGGTTTTCAAATTTCATTCGTGGTAAAGCAAAAAATATTTGTGAGATAGCAGTATGGCCCGAAAAGACGCTCGTATGTAGAGTAGAACGAATAAAGCATGCAGAATACCGGTGTGCTCAACGCACATACAAGTCACCTGATTGCTATTATTTAGTTAGCTTATATCTGACAACTATGAGGCGGCTGTGCAGTTGAATGAACTGACCGATCAATTCCAGTGACTGTCAGTGGTGACGAATAGAACTAGTAGCAAGCCAACTCGGTTCTGCGATAGCACCGAATACCTCAAGGAGGTCTATATTGAAGGGATCCGCGTCGTCATAACATCCAGAAGCGATTTCACAGTGAATTGGAGAGATCTTGAGTCAACGTCTCCAGTGCTAATGAAGAATTGCAAACGGAGATATAGTTACATGGACAAGTTGAAGGTAATCACAGAAACTCTGCACGCCATTATTGCACAATACCGTGCGTTGTACCTGGGCTGATTTGGAGGAACGCTAGAGTAAACCATGAGACCAGGTCTAACATATTCTTCTCCAATCGATAATGTGGTAAATGTATGCCATTACAACTACACAAACTAAACTCAGCTCCCATCAGGAATGCCTCCTTCTAATAAGGATATGGAACGTCGTTTGCGGCGGACATACTACCGCGATTAATGGAAGTACACTATACGCGCTGTATCCCTAAGGGTTGCTGAATATCCCAATGTACACATAAGGAATCTGCTTCATTCATTCCGATTGGAATGTTGGGTTTGGAATTCAGATAAGGTCTGACCACGTAGCAAGTTGCAAAGTTCTGCAAAACCGTCAAAGATCTGTTTTCGGTACGCTTACATAAACCGTGACATATGTTCAGTTTGAATTTCATCACGATTGAGCTCAATCAGACGTCGTTATACATCAGAAAAAGAAATCGTTGGTACCGTAAGACCCATCTGCCCTGTGTGACGCTAGAACCCGAGATCCCACCTCACAAGTCGGTGATCAAGAAAATTGGGTCACGAGAAACGGCAACGCCAGAGACGCACGAGTCACTGGATGTGACAGCACAGCTCAGTTTTCATTTACTTACAACATTTAAATTATCGTTGTAATCAGTTACGGGGCCCACACTACTTAGTATGCCACGAGTTGATTGGTGGCCTGAGTGTGAGAAGCCGTTGCTGAGAGGAGGGGCAGATGGCCAAAAGACGTCAGCTTTACAACTCGGTTCGAGCTTAAGTAGGGGACAGGGTGACTCTCGCTGTACCCTTGACCCACGCGCGACTGGTGGTGATTGCGTGACAATGAAGCGACGCTGCCGGGATACTAATGACGCCTATACGGTAGTACTGTGCAAGTCAGTAGACAGTGAGCCGATTGGTCACAGATACATCGACTTGCCGTGTCCCATGGACCAATGGCCTTACGCACGGACTCGTAATAACAGGGTCGCGAATGCTATCCCCAAAAGGGAACGGATGAATGTGCACTGTTGACAAGCTCCGAAACGACAGCCCGGTTGTGTCCAATTTAAACTACTAAAAAAATTAAGATACCCACACTAACCAGTCTCCCATAATGAAATAAACAACGGCTGCCACTGGACATGTCTTATTTGTTAGCGTAATAAGTAAATAAATAAACGGTATATTTCTCGACATGCGAGACACAGGTAAAATACCATCCTGATTATTGGTACAACAGTGTTGGATAGTGGAGGGATTTTTTAAATTCCGTTATGTTCTCATTAAAGTGCTTGAGGTGCTCAATCATTTAACAGTAGTAAAATATGGAGAAGTTGTGAGTAGGAATAAAAGTTGTTATAGCCGTCAGGTCAAGTAAAGTAACACGACCGTTCATGGAACCGTTTCCCGGAGAGCTGCTTTCACACTCCAATTACCCATCTCATCTGACTATGTGCTATTGTGGTTTAATGCAAGTAGCCAATGTATTTTCTTTTGATTCGTTTTTTCTTGTTGGCGGCTGTCATGCAATTTGTTATCACCATGGTGACACAGTACACATAAATATGTATAAATTTATGTTGGGACCTGTGTAATATGTTAAACTCTCCCCATCATACAGCCATCATTCAGCTAATTCGAGTCTAGCACTTTTAATATTCGCCAGTGAGGTCGTAACAACCTGCATTTCATGAGTGTACTGCACATTTGAAAGAATTTATCCATCACCTCGAGAGATAAGCTCAATCGTGGTCAACAGTGGCAGGAGAGAAATAAACAAGAAGCAAACGGATGGAGGAACAGTAATGAGAAGACGATGGGCTTTGTCAGAAGTTGTCCGATACAGATTGTACAAATGACGCTGTAATTGCTGTGAACCATAATTGAAGATATTGACCTCAACAATAACGAAAAAATTAAATGTCACTAATGCATGGAATACTGAAGTTTCGACTCCGAGCAACAATAAGCTACTAAGAGCAAAGTTAGTGATGAGCAACAGGAGAGATTAAAAGGTAGGATATTAGTCGTATTTGTCGGGTTTCACCAGTCATCAAACACAGACGGTTTATGCGGGCTGGGGTGTAAAACCCCGTGCAGCCGCACAGACCTCAAAATTGGAGGTCAAACACTTGAATTATTAGACCACGACTTAAACAGGACCTCATCATTCACTCGTTATACACGTTAGCTAGAGGTGGAAAACACCTCAGCTACTGTGACCTAAACAGAAGCTAGAGTGAAACAAATGTTCCAAACAAACATTCGTGGTCAACACACCCACCAACTGCAATCATAAACATTTAGAAATAAGACGAAATCGGTGAGACTGCTTATGTGGAGTCTACAGTGCGCAAGATCACACTCATTCTCACAGCACAGACAAAGCGGTGTCAAGCTCACGTTAAATAGATTTACTAAGGTTATAAACGCGCTTAAGTCCATGAGTGGTGCTTGCTCCGAAATGAGCGTAGCATAGAGTGAGGTGAGGCTGATAAATGATGTCCAGATTTCTGATAACATCGGAAGTGAAGTAGTATGGAAAACATGAAGCTTCGTTGATCGTGTACTTGGAACGCGCTCAGGACTACCATCGACCCCCCCCCCCCCAAAAAAAACGCTGAAGCTTGTTGAGACATGCTAACAGCAGCATCCTACATTTCGCCGAGGCTGTCGAGATCACTAGGATCGAACCGGCACTCTGTGTGCAAAAACAGTTGTTTGTAAGCTCCCATGGACGTAGGGGTGGCATATCTGTACCCCACCCTGGGTCTATTTTATCCGATCACACCCTTGCTGTTGTTATATATATATATATATATATATATATATATATATATATATATATATATCTGTTATTGTATTGGCACTGACGAGACAATACGAAATGCTAACATCTGCCAGCTTTCGTCTTCTCACAGCGTTGTTTAAGAAGCTCGTTCTCTCGAGCTAGGGTAATGCAATGGCAGTGGGAAGGTCGATGTACAAAAATACCCGGTAGGATTTAATACATATTGCAGAAAGAGATTGTTCCGGCTAACTGGAGCGAATCGATTCATGTGACAACACTCAAGAAACCGTCCAGGACGACTGTCAATCGCGTGAGCATCGGCTGGTCGTGACAGAACCACTGATCTACTACCTATATCTTCGTAATAAGGATCCCGGATGAGAAAAGTTTAACCAGATTCTCAAATGAGATGGGACTACATGGAACACTTATACAAGTGGACCATGCGTAAGCCAAGATAAGCTTACTGTATAATTATACTTCGGCATGTATTAAGGCATATTCATAAACACAAACGAGCAACCGTAGCCGGCTTTTTATTCGAATATCGCTTTGAACTGAATTGACGGCGGCTGAAGGATAAGGAGAAAAGTGCCGTTCTAGTTTACAAACCTCCACACGGTGACTTATAGAATCGAATAGTGGTTTATGGAGAGTATTCTAATTCTTAAAGCTACAACACGCGGGCTAGAATTTAGGCTACACATCGTTGAATATGCTGATATGAAGCGAAGCACAACCCCCTGAGTTGTTCCTAAGTTGAAACTGTAAAGTATGCTTGCAGGAGGGAACAGACGCGTTGTTTGTTGGCAACAGTGCCAAGCGACTTCATTCACCTTGGTAATCCCACTGGTTACAAATTGCCCAAGAGATCGGTGAGACCATCGGTAAAGCTTACGTGACTTTCTAAGTTTCGTCGCCTTCGGAGACAACAAGATAATTGCTAATCACACAAAAGTACGGTACAGCTTGGCCCGTGTTGCCACATATAACGAAGATATGGGAACTGTGCTGCGAGGACAACAAAAGGTGCTAACAAATCGCAAATCAACTCTGGAGTACACTCCGAATGAGCAGTACTGCCATCCGTCAACTGATGTTTGGTAACGCACAATATGAAGCTGGAACGAGTTACAATGTGGTCATGTAAAAGCGTTCGCCAATTCTGCTTTGCGAGGTTGTGTGTTTGTTGGTGTGACGGTAGAAGATAGGCAGTGTCCATCATAAATGGGCTGTCAGATGGGCGTCACATACCCAACAAAACATGGCTATTTCATCCTTTCGGAAATCGTCAACAGTACGAATTCCACCACCAGATTCTGCGACTATAATCTTACGAATAAGCAGTTAGGACAGGAATGGCCAATAGGACTAAGTCAGTAGTTTTGATTTGTCACGTTACTACAATGCATACGAAAGAAAACCGCCCCAACAAGGGGCCACGAATTAGTCTATAGCATTATAGGTCGGCCAGTGGCCGACGGATTCAGGTGTCTTCCCGAGAACCCACAGGTTATCGATTCAAAGCTACTTGGGTGCGGGCGAACTCGCGAAATCTCTAACCTACATGCGACTGATGGTGACGGTGTGTGGAAGCAGAGTGTCAGTGAGAAGTGACTGCGTCCTGCTGATGCTTTGCTTATGGAAGTTCATGGTACCAACCAGTGATTCGCAATAGTCAGGTTCTGGGTTCTAGCCACAGACGGAATCAATAGAACGCTCAATGCTGATGAATCCCGAGAAGATGAAATCACCGTCCAGTGCTCTTCCGGAGATGTGATGACCATTTACCCAGGTCCAATAGTTACCTTGTAAATCAGTCGTAATTCCATTGCAATAAGTAGAAAATAAATGGATGAAATGATGGGCCACACTAGTAGATGATATTTCCCAAGATGAGGACCTCAGGACCGATGAAAACAGCGATGAAAAACTTGATGCAGTTAGTGGCGCTCCCGCATTCGCTTCCTTGCATCTATTTGTTAAGTTTCACTCCATCTCCATTCGTTTCACGTGTAATCCTTTCTGATTTGCGTTAGTCTCGGTAAGTGAACATTCCACAGCGTAGGCTCTATAGGGTCAGTAACCCTAGGGCAAGAGAAACATATGCGAAAGGAACGACGTAATCAACAA